GTGGAAGTGGTAGTGCGGGTGGGAGTATAGGAGTGGGAGTCGTGGTGGTGGTGGCAGTGGTGGTGGTGTTAGTGGTAGTAGTAGTAGTAGTAGTAGTAGTAGTAGTAGTAGTAGTAACTAGTAGTAGTAGTAGTAGTAGTAGTAGCAGTAGTAGTATTAGTACTAGTGATCGTAGTCGTGGTCGTAGTAGTAGTAGTAGTAGTAGTAGTAGTAGTAGTAGTACTACTACTAGTAGTAGTAACTAGTAGTACTAGTAGTACTAGTAGTAGTAGTAGTAGTAGTAGTAGCAGTAGTAGTAGTAGTGGTAGTGGTAGTGGTAGCGGTAATTAGGGGTAGTGGTAGTGGTAGTCGTAGTGGTAGTAGTGGTAGTAGCAGTCGTAGTCGTCGTAGCAATTAGGGATGGTGGTCGTAGCAACAAGATTAATGGTAAACGCCCCATAGTGCGCACCAGGCCTGGCTGGTCGTCCTTCGCCGAGGTGCCGCTGAAGGCACCCCGCGCCCGCCGCGCTAGTGCCGAGCGCCTCCAGCGGTGTCGCATTGAACTCCAGAAAAGGGTGCTTCGATGGCAACTGAATGTCATCTGTTTTATGAGAAACTAGAAGAGGGCTGAGGGTACATTTTCGTTTTCTTTGCATTCTTCAGATCCCCCACATCAGCTGCAAAGCTGCTGAGTTGTGGAGAGAGTACGTCCCGGCTTCAAAGTCGGAGTGGCTGCTCTAAGCGATTTAGACTATATACGAACTGAGCACAAACCACGCTCAACATGGTGCAAACCCTTCTTTTCTATTCTGAGGGAGCTTTCAAAAATCATGCAACCCACATCCGAGACTCCTGGCATCCAACAGCATTCGCGATAATATAGGGACCTCATGTATTAAAACAGGGTTTTGAGAGGTATTTCACCAGAGAACTAGAAAAGCAACCCCACAGAATACTGTGATCAATTATTCAGGAGCCTATGTAGCACGGAAGCTGCCTCTTTCCTGCAGCCAGCAGTGAAACGGTTGATGATGCTAGCGCCACCCGTACCTGGAGCGAGGAGCAACGGCATCACCATCAGCAGTCCTATCACAGCCATCGCCATCACGGTTGTCATCATGTGGGGGTTTCCGAAAATAGGGGACCCTAATATAGTACCCTAAACAGTAGGACCATTATTATAAGGACCCCCCAAAAAGGTACCCAAAATTTCGGAAACTCCCATGTGGCAACGTAGATGCAAGAAGTGCTTGGGACCACTATGGCCATGCGAGAACATTGAAGGCAGGGAACGAGGTGAGGCTTTCGGTGTAATATGGGCGGAAATAATTAGAATAGGATTTTGGGGCATATTATACTGCAACTATAAGGAACCCCCACAATAGTATTGGTAATTCTTCAGGCCCCTACAGTATACCGTTCAGGGTCTGAGGAGCTAAGTTTTCAGGCGAACACCTGTTCTTTTGTGCTGCACTTCTTCAGGAGACAGGCCTTTTGCTACTTTTGAGACTCGTTCCGTCTTCAGCAGATCGATTCTTGTTGTGGGTTCTTTCTTCAGTCAAGATGTCTCTCGAGAGATAAGGCCACACACCCTTGCAGACCACGCCATCTTTTGTTCACAGGGCCACTTCGGAGCAGTGAGAATGAGCTTCGCTGGGCATCTCCGAAACTTGACAGGTCTGAGCTACCTCGTTGTTGCAAGAGGCTATGAGTGATCAGTCCGGCATAAAACGAGCCTGTCAGGCGGCGATGCCAGGATTTCATTCTGAAATCTTTTCCCTATCGTTGCTGTATCACCTCCAAGTCAGGAACGGCTTCTGGGAGCAAGTGGTCCTTTCCTCAGTTGTCAGAATCAGCAGCAGCTGCCAAAGATCAGCATCCGAAGCGGCCCTGCGGACCATGTTCGGGTGTATGCCACTGCCATGGCGCTGGATAAAGGACAGGAAGCACATGATTGAATGAACTCAGACACAACTGTTCAGAATCCGGAACTGCCCTTTAGGTCCAAATCGAAACATCGCAATCCTGACAGGCAGCCTTGCTAAACACACAGCCGTGTTGCCATTTCCAGTCGGCTCCATCGCAAGATTCTCCTCGCTTGTGCTCTGCAGCTCCCATCAGGGCATGCTCAAATGTGTCAGCTCGACCGGACAAGCACGAAGTCAGGCCATGTCTAAGACGCAGGTCATGCAATGCTGCCAAGTCTCCAAGCTGTGTGGCACTTTGATGCAAGCTGCGTCCACGCTGAAGCCGCCGTGGTAAGAATCGGAACCGCCAAACCTCAAGAGCTCTTCTTTCCATCTCATTAGCTGGCCCGAACAAGCCTCAGCATTGGCTGCGGAAAAAGAGTAAGCTCGTAGAATCGAACCACCAGCCAGCGAAACTGGAATAACTCATCGCCAGTCTCTTCGTCAGAAAGCGGAATGTCATTTTCCCAGTCTAAGCGAACGATGCCGCTTCTGCTTCCCTCACAAACCCCGGACCCGAAAAGCGTAAACCCTTAACCCTAAAGCCCAAAACCCGAAACCCTAAAACCCTTAACCTTCCGATCTGAACCTTGGGACCCTTAGCCCGAAATCCCGCAGCGAAATGGGCAAGAGACTTCTCCGCCAAGGCCACTTTCTCCGATGGTTGCCTTGACTGTATAGGGTTTAGGGCTTACGGCTAAGGGTTCAGGGTTTAGGGTTCAGCTTTCAGGGTTGGGATTTGGGGCTGGTCTTACGAACGAACTTCTGTCGAGCTGGTATCAGATAATACGAGTATCTGCACGCATGCTCTTTCGGTACGCAACACCGTGCTCGTCTAACAACTCAAGTTATAGTCCTCACATACCGCAGTGCAAAACTGAATCTTACGACTTATCCTTTTGTTTCCGACATTTTCAGCATATGCATACTCGCATACGTACATAGGTATGTACGTATCTGCGTAGGTATGTATGTATGCACTAGTTGCATGCAGTATAGAATAAGGTATGTACGTTACATGCCTGTGTGCATGCTCCCTGCACACGCAAATACACACGTGTGTATATATATATATATACATGCATACATACATACATACATACATACATACATACATACATAAATACATACATACATATATATATATGCACACACGCAACCTGCATATTAGTTTCAACCCTTAACTGCAACACACACACACACTACATATATATATATATACACACACATACAAAAAAGCATGCCATATACATTTACGTATACATACAGTATGTATATGTATATGTATATGTGTGTGTACGTACGTACGTACGTACGTACGTACGTACGTACGTACGTACGTATGTATGTATGTATGTATGTATGTACGTATGTATGTATGTATGTATGCATGTAGGCAGCGTAGTGCAACATAAACATAACGTAACGTAATGTATGTAGGTATGCATGCGTGCATGTGAGCACATCCATGTTCAAGGGTTGGAATGTCGCGCCAAACAAAGCAAAAAACAACTCTAAACCCCAAACCCTATAAACCCTATAAACCCTGAGTTCAATTTCCAAACTCTCGATGCTCCTGTGGACCAGGTTGCAAGGTGCCCTCGGGCTGACAGCGGTGGAAGCAATACCTGAGCACTTCAGGGTTTAGGGTTGAGGGGTTCAGGGGTTTAAGGGTTTAGGGGTTTGGGGGGTTTAGGGGTTTCGGGTTTAGGAGCACAGAAAATGTTGCCCTCGCTTTAAGGTTGAAGGACAAAGGTTTAGGGGCTTAGGTTGAGCTGTGTTCGGGGTTTAGGGTTTGGGCTTTGGTTGGGCTGTGTTCGGGCTTTTCCGGTGCCTTGTGGGGTGCGCAGTCTAGTTAGGGGCCGAGGGGTTCAACAATGTAAGGTTTAGGGTGGCCAACGGGAGAGTCTCAAGCTCTGTGCAAGCGATCAGGAATTCTTGACAAGCTCGAACGCGTTTGCCCAACCGACGAGCCAAGAATAGCATTCTCTGCATCGGTACATGAACAACCAGAAGCCTGAACGATGCTCCTGCACACATCGACGTGCGACTTCGGGAATCTTTTGCTAATACTTACTGTTGTAACACTGTATTCTATGACTTGGCTGTGCGAAGGCACCTGTCCATATCCACAATGGTCACGTGAGTGAAGACCTGGCGCGGATGTATCAAGTGGCGCTTCTCGCAGATCTCCGAAAACCGAAATCAGATGTTTGCGTGAGTTCATGACACCATGACTTCTAAACCCTAAACCCTAAACGTTGCCTCAAAGGGGGTCCTTAATCTCATCCAGATAGCATGTGAACCCATCTGCAGGAACTGGGGAGCTCCACTGAAAACTCTAACCTCCGATGACAGAGCACTTAGCAAGTGACCTATTCATGTAGGGGCCTTAGATAATTGAAGGAAACTACAGGTGGGGAGTTTAGGGTATATAGGGCTTCTACATAAGACATATAGACCTTCTATAAGGCTCCTATAACGGTAACTACCCCCCTGAAAATGTCCTAGATTAATAATCAAAATGGGGCTCTGGGGTCTATGATACGATATTTATACTAAGGAAACCCCAAAATTGTATAGGTAATTACTTAAGGCCCCTATATTCGAGGTTCTACGGTACTTCGAAAAGCAGGCCCCGAGCAGATTGCAAACAGGAAAATCCTGTAGGGCCTACCTAGAATAGGGTTTGAGGTTATCTTACACGATAACCACGACTCATTGCGCAGGTCCCGATAGTATATGGGTAGTTCTCTAAATCCCTTTGTGGGTCCTTTTCGATAAGGGTGCCGTAGCGTATTGGGGACCTAGAAAGGGACCATCATTTAGAGAACTATCTATATGCTCCATCATGCCTCTGGCTTCTTTAGTCGCCCGAATTGCTCAAGAAGCTCCCTCGTACCTCGCCAACCTATGCACGAAGCTCGCTTAAGTAGCCCGATGAGGAGTCCACTCCATTTCTGGCACTGCACTCAACACAAACCCCCCAAAATCGTAAGCCCAAAACCCAAAACCCCCCAAAAATCCTAAACCCTAAACNNCCCTAAACTCTAAACCCTGAATCCCAGATCCTCAAAACCCCAAACCCCACATGTACACATCCCCTCTTCGGCCCCCAAGGATCCAACCCCAGCCTCGTCATCCACGGCCGTGCACTCCGAGGCGCAGGAACCTCCGAGGCTCGCCGGCGCCGCGCACTTCGAGAGGTGCTGCCCTGCGCGTTAGGGTTTAGGGTTTAGGGTTTAGGGTTTAGCGTTTAAGGTTTAGGGTTTATGGTTTAGGGTTTAAGGTTTAGGGTTTAGGGTTTAGGGTTTAAGGT